TTTGACGTATCTTACAACTCTAACAACAGCATCCATATGAGACCTCTTTGGTGCATTCATAAACTGACTTAAGTTTTGAACAGCATAAGACAAATCCGGTCTAGTAATGGTTAAGTAAATCAACCTCCCAACAAGTCTCTGATATTCACCAATATCTGATAGTAATGAATCAGATGAAGAACCTACATGTTTATCAAAAATCATAGTAGTTAATTTGACATTCATTTCAACAGGTGTGGCAATAGGTTTAGACCCTCCTAAACCCAAGTCTGAAATTATCTCCAATGCATACTTCCTCTGGCGCATGAGAATCCCTTTAGAGTTCCTGACAAATTCTATCCCTAGAAAGTATCTCAAAGGTCCAAGGTCTTTGATTTTGAAGTTGTCCTTCAGAACTTGTTTAGTGTCATTAATCAGCTCCATGCTACTACCAGTTACTAACAAATCATCAACATAAATCAAGACAATCACAATGCCTTCAGCTGACCTTTTGATCAACAAGGAGTAATCCATATGACTTTGCTGAAAACCAGCAGCTATAGGGCCTGAGTTAATTTCACATTCCATTGCCTTGGAGCTTGCTTAAATCTATATAATGACTTAAGCAACTTGCATACAAGTTGAACCCCATCATATCTATGAGTGAAACCTAGAGGTAATTGCATATACACTTCCTCCACTAAGTCACCTTGTAAAAAGGCATTATAGACATCCATTTGTTGGACATCCCACCCTTTAGTAGCAGCAAGGGTCATCACTGTCCTCACAGTGACCATTTTTACAATTAGAGAGAAGGTCTCCTGATAATCCAAGTCTTCCTGCTGACTATAACCTTTGGCCACTAGTCTAGCTTTGAATCTTTCAACTTCACCAGTTATTTTGTACTTGATTTTATACACCCATTTGCAACCTATAGCCTTCTTACCAATAGATAAAGATACTATCTCCCAAGTCTTATTATCTTCCAATGCATGTAGTTCCTCCTCCATGGCTGCCACCCATCTCTTGTCTTTAACAACTTGGTGATAAAATTGAGGCTCAGTGTCAACTGAAAGATTAGCAATACAACATTAATATGAAGGAGACAAGCAACTGTAGTCAATACTATCTCCAAGAAAGTACAAACAGTGAGACTTTGATCCAGACTTGGCTGAGGTCACAAAATCCTTTTGCCAAAAAGGAGGTTTGAAAGTTCTAGTGGATTGTCTTCTTCCTATAGTGGAACTCATAGTTGGTTCCTCAACAACTGAATGTGGACTTATAGTAGGTTGATCCTGGGGATGAGGGTCCTCAAAAATATGATCACTAGAGTGTCCAGTATTGTCATTGTGATCATCCATGCACACATTATCATCAGCCTTGACAGTCAAAATTGGAACTTGAAAATCATCATCTGATACAATTGCCTGCATATCAGCATTAGCATGAATCTAAAAGGGAAATATGGATTTAGTAAAAACAACATCCCTGCTGATAAAAAAAATATTATTTTGAGGATCATAAAGTTTGTATCTCTTTTGTGTAGTGCCATAACCCATAAAAACTGATCTAATAGCTCTAGGGCCAAACTTGTCTGTCCTCAACAGTTTGGTGGCATGACACAAACAACCAATAATTCTCATGTAAGACAGATCCGGTGGTTTGCTGAACATCATCTCAAAAGGAGACTTATTATCCAACACAGTGGATGGAATTCTATTAATAATATGAACTGCAGCTAAAACACACTCCCCCAAAACTTGATTGGAATGTGACCTTGAAATCTGATGGCTCTGGCTGTCTCCATGATGTGCCTGTGCTTTCTTTCCACTACATCATTTTGCTGTGGTGTATGTGGACAAGAACTCTGATGAATGATGCCTTGAGAGTGAAACAACTCACTCACTTATGCATTAAAAAACTCTTCACCATTGTCTGATCTAAATACTTTAACCTGGATAGTGTATTGGGTTTGAACCATGGCAAGAAAATGTTTCAATATGGTAGAAACATCAGATTTAAGATGCATGAGATATATCCAAGTCCATCTAGAATAATTATCAATCAATGTAAGAAAAAACTTCATCTTATTGTGAGTTGCAACTTTGTAGGGTCCCCATACATCCATATGAACTAAATCAAAACATTTTGAACTCCTAGTGCTACTACTAGGAAATGGTAATCTAACTTGTCTAGCCAATGGACAAATATTACAACATTGCAACTGAAACTTCCGTTTATTAGCAAACACATCTATCTTTCTAATAACACTCATATGAATGTGACCTAGTCTTTTATGCCAAACTTCACCTTCATCAGAATCTTTGACAGCTGCAACTGCAAGACTCTTATGATCTTGTCCAGTGTCTATCAGTTGGGGAGACTTCAAAATGTATAAACCACCATCTTCTTCACCAATCTCATTCAATCTCCCAGTGAGAAAATCCTGAAGAAGGAAGAAATTAGGGTAAAATATAGCACAACAATTCAATTGTCTAGTTAGTTTAGCTACCGAAAGAAGGTTGAAGTTAAAATCTGGCACACATAAAACATTCTTAACCAAATCACCTCCTTATAGTTTAGAACAACTTGAGTGTGTGACTCTAGATGAATCACCATTTGGAAGTTGAACTTGTCCTGAACTCATCACTGTTGATCCATGAGTCAATACATTTTTAGTTCCCACCATATGATCAGTTGCTCCATTGTCAACAATCCAATTAAAGCTAGAGGAATTGAACTTAGAATTTCCTGCAAAAATACCTGTTGCATTGGCATTAATGTTGGTAGATGTTGCATTTCCTTCATAGATCAATGGTTTGTTCAACATCCGAAGGACTTGATTATACTGATTAGGTGTAAACTGTGGAATTGAACCAGGTCCAAACCTTGAACCATATTGTTGTTGCAACTGTTGTGTGGAAGGAATTAAGCAACTACTATTATTTGAACTGTTGTGTTCTGTTGACACTGTATTAGCTAATCTTTTCCCTTTGTAGTTGGTAGGATAACCTATCAACTGGAAACAAATATCCTTCAGATGCCCATGCCTATGACAATGAGTACAATATTTTAGCTTGTTACAATCAGCTTTACTGTGACCTTTCATTTCACAGTGATCACAATACAAATATCCACCCATCTGTGGTCTATGAGGTTTCATATTTCCTTGACTTCGATAACCTTGACTTCCAGAACTATTTCCTCCAAATCTACTAGAAAATAATGCAGTAGAATCTAATTGTCCACCTAAGGTGTAGTGATCTCCACACAACTCCCTTTGGCTTTCATCTTGAATTATCATAGCATAGCATTGATTAACAGTAGTGGAACACTCATCATAAGAATCTGACTTCTAGCATGACTATAATTGTCATTCAGGCCCATTAAAAATTGCAAAAGCTTTTGTCTAAGCATGCTATCAATATACTCTTTAGATCTAGCACAACTACAAGAGGAAAGTGGAACAATTGAGTCGAATTCATCCCATAAATCCTTTAACTTTGAGTAATAAACTGATACAGGGGAAGTACCTTGAGTATGTATGACAATTGATTTATGCAGGTGGAAAATTCTGGACATATTCACCTTATCAAAACGTTCCTTCAGATCACTCCAAACTAGTGCTGCATTAGAACGAAATAAGATTCCACTCACCAAATCCTTGCTCACATCACTTATCAACCATGAGAGCACCATAGCATTACATCAATCCCACTGTTTCTTCTCAGAATCGACTGTATAGTCTTCACGATTGATGCTCTTATCAACAAATCCCAATTTGTTCCTAGTCAACAGAGTCAATTCCATCGCTCTGCTCCATAAAGTGTAATTCTCCATGCCTGTGAGTTGAATTCCGATTTGAACAGCTCCTGGTACATCAGAAGATGATAAAAACAGAGAATGAGCATGGTCAATTTTGTTTGTCATTGATGCCTCCTCAGATCTGTAAATTCAGCTATCAAACGAAGTTAGAAATTCATCAGGAATCGCATTTCATGCTCTGATACCATATCAATTTGTCGATTGAATTAAACCTAACTATTTTGGGAGAATAGAAGAAGAAGATTACATGAATGAATTGTTTCTCCTATTCATCTCTGCAAACTGAATGATTATTGTTACTGAAACTTACAGTGCTAACATGTATATATACAATTACATTGATGGTAACTAACTAACAGCTAATTAACCAATAAGACGCTGACAACTAGATAACTAATCAGCAGTACTGAACTAACTACTAATAGTACTTAACTAACTACTAAATAACTGTAATACTCTTATCATACTCCTCAATAATTACATCGTGGGAACGTTCATGACATGGAGTATTATAGTATGATAGAAGTGAAGGGAAAATTAGCGGTCCTTCGAAGGTAGGTTAGTTGATCATGAAGAAATTATTTTTTGGATTTTAGGAGATGATGGAATTTGGAAGACACATATTATTCTTGATTTTCCCTTGATTGATCATAAGAATGTGCGTTTTTGTTGCCAGACATATTATGATGGGGAAATTATATTTGTAGTTAAAGTCAATAAATTCTATTATTTCTGTTATGATATCACGAGAAAAAAAGTTGGAGAAAATGTCAAATAGAGAGATTTTATGAAATGGATTGGAGGCATTCATACATGTGTAGAAACTAGAAAGCCTCTATCCCATTGGAAAAATATCAACAAGTTCAAACTGTGTTCGAGCAAGACATTTAATGATAATTTTGAGATCTTTTTCCTTGTTTTTTTTTCCTACTATACACCAACTTTGGACCATGAAATTGCACGACTTGATCGAATTTATTTATTATGTCTAGTAAGATGTGAATAATGGGTCATCCAAAATCAAATTAATGACCCGAAAGTATATTAGTCCATCCAATTTGATGTGAAAACACAAACGGAGCCCCGAGTTAGAGCCTTACCTATATATAGACGCAGTCGGTTGCCTGAAATTCAATTCAACGCATTGAAATTTTGAAGATCTGTAAGAATTCTGGAAAAGAGATTTAAGCATACAAATAGAGAGAAGAAATGGCACAGGCGAGTAAAGAGCCCTGTAAGAAACAGGCTTGCGATATTCAAGCTTGTCTTTCCAAGAACAATTTCCTTCCTCAAAGGTCTGGCTGGATACCTAATTTATTCCTTATCTTCTTTTATGTTATTAGAAATTCAAGTTGGTCTATGAGTATATCAGGAATATGGTTGTACAATTATAGCAATATGCATAAATCTATGCAATTGTGAAATCAAATTGTTTTATATCGGATGCTTTTTAAGCAAGTATATAATATCACTGTCCACCTTTCAGCAGGAGCGGATTTAGGTTATTGGGTTTAGTTTTCGACGAATCCAGTAACGTTTGCCTGGGTTCTGTATTGTATTGACAAATTCATTAAATTACGAGTTGGGAACCTATTTAACAAAGTCTATAGTTGGTGGATGTTGCTTGAGACCTCATGATTCTCAACCACTTTCATTGGGGGTTGGGAAAGCAGGTAGAAGAAACTAAGAATTGTTTGATGCTCCAGGAAACCAAATTATTGAGAGGTGAAAAGTCATATATTTAGTGGCCTTTGGATTCGTAGTTGTAACAACCTAGAGAGAGTTGCTTTTCGGGTGATTTTCCTGTAAAGTGAATTTTAGCTGAACTGCCACTTGCTCTACAGGAATGTGAAATCAAATTATGTTCCTACTGGATGTGTCTGCGAAAACACCCAAAACCTACTGGCTATTAAAAACCTTCTGCTTTTTTATATGAGGAGATGTACAGCAATGAATTTTAAAAGGATCCATTTAAACAGTCTTAACCCTTATGTGATGCAAGATTAGTTACTCCCCCCACCATTTGATATCATAGAGGATGATTGGCAACCATGAAAATTGCTAGTCTACAGATTACAATATTTCACATACATTCTGAGATCAACATACACCTTGGAGTCATTTTCTTGAATTTGTCTACTAAAGTTGCAAGAATGATTCTGTTAGCTACAATACATGAGATTTAGTCTAGGACCAGGGAGCTTACAGAATCTAAAGATAGTTTATGCTATTTACAAAAGAGAATTTACACCAGCTAAATAACCCTCAAGGAGTGATTTGGAGTAGGGATACCATCAAAACATCTATGATTTCTTTTTATCCAAATACACCATAAAATAGTAGCAGACGCCATTCTCCAGATATTCTTGATGGTGAACTGTATTAGGATACAATAAAGCGATAATGTGGCTATAAGTTCCTAGACTGCGAATTAATTGACGAACCCTGATAATAGATGTCACTTCTAGTTGCTTCATAGCCTGGTGCTGCTTCTTTGACAGGTTTTGGGAGAACTTCTAACATTTCTCTATCGTCCAGACACTTACTTTAGGTCTGTACTTATCAGAAGAAAATAATAGAGAACCTTTTAAATACCTCTTAAGCAGATTTCTTTTGAGTATCTCAATGAAAATAGTCCAACTAGTGTGGAATATTTATCGAGGATTCATATAGCTGACTGACTGCCCTGAACTAGTTTGGAATTAAGGTGTAGTTGTTATTGTTGTTGTTCTCTACATCTGTGTGGCTGCCTCCATCTGCAATATTATAATTTTAGCTAATAGATCCATAGGCACATTGCATCCCTTAAAACTTCTTTAAAGTTTGATTTATGTTCAAGTACATGCTTATTTAGTGAGTAGTTTGGAAAGCTACTAGCTTAGCTCAACCCATAAGTGTGTAATATTTTTACTGACTTATCCCATTTTACCTGTGTTGGTAGGTGTGTAAAAGTGATTGAAGCATTGAAATATTGTTGTGAGCAATGTGAATACAAGTCAACACATTGTGCTTCTCTGTCTGGGCTGCTAAAGCAAATACAGAAAAAATAGAGTTTGATGGCTACAGTTGGCTTCAGACTTCAGATAACACCATATCCTGGTTGTGTTCTTCGTGGCAGAGGAGGAGCCAACGTGAGTTGCTTCTCGAGCCAGACATCTTGTGACTTTATGGACGTTCTCAATGCAATCAAGAAAGCTGGATCACTACTCAAGTGATTATTGATTTTAGTTTCATTATTAGGAATCTGAGTTTAGAAGTTGAGAATGTATTTCAGCTGTATGACATAGTTAACATAGCTGTTGAACCTCATAAGCGAGCGGCATACTTAATTTCTTTAGCAAATAAATAGTAGTGGTGGAGAAGAACTGAACTCATAGATAGAATGCATTGTCTCATTTAGACCAGCTTGCCTTGTATACACAAATAGAGCAAGATTTCTCAGTCGGCATGATATATTTTACTATTCACAAGAAAAAATTAGAATGAAGCAAAACATAAGTTTGGTTATTAGCACATTTGGTGCCTAGAGTCGATAAATTGGCTCGATTTTTGGTAACTTGGTTCAATAGGTAAACTTTTTTTCAAATTATTTCAACCCACCAATTAAAAGCAATCCCATGTTCAACAAGGACCATTTTAATGGGTCTGCATCTCGTGCTAAAGTTGAACTGCTTGCGTTCTTGTCATTTCTTGCAGTAAGGATTGCTGAATGACACGCTGCTCTGGACTCTAGAGTATATTATATTACTAACTGGCAGAGTGTAATCACTACAATTGCATAGTTCTGTAGATTTTCATGGCCTTGGTAGAAAACCGCTTGTTACTCTTCACTACATATAACAAAAAGCAGTCCATAGAATACAATTGGTGTGGTCTCTTCTTGGGAGAAGAAGAAGAATTGAGCAGATGAATTTGGGTGGTAAAAACGGTTTCCTGTACCAGGTGAAGAAAAGAGAGGAAAAGGAGGGAGGCCAAGAAAAATAAAAGAGGAACACAAATATCACCCTATGATCTCAAAGAATCTTGCCGCTTCAAAGGAATACCTTCTTGTCCAAAACCATCCTCCTCATCCATGTGCTTGGGAAGTCGCACAGGTAGCGTTGGGGGACCTGTATTGGGTTCCACAATAGACAGCATGTTACTTGGAAACTACCGATGTAGTAAATGTATATGGAGTATAAACTTGTACAAGAATACCAACTTAAAACCCGAAGATCTTACCATCAACCATGTCTTTAGTTTTGTGAAGAAGAAAAGTTCCAGAAAGAATAGTCACAAACCCACACAATTCTGTTACTATTTGTGTTGGATTTTGCCTATCCCAGTCCTGTTCACACAAGTGATGAGACGGATAAGGAAATTTGAAGCATATCATGAGGATTAAATAAGGATTTTAAGATGAAAAACAAGAACACTTGTTCAAGGCCTCAAGCACTAGAAAAATGCATCAACCTCCTACATTCAACATTTAGATACCAGAAAACCCAAAAAATGGTTTGCCAATTGGATATGTTCAATTCAATGCTTAATCTTGGTGTATAGACTATAGTTCCTCAAAAAAGAAACAAATAAGAGGACTTGATGACCATACTTGACCCCCAATTGGAAGAAAGCATAGGATTCATATCATACTTCAGAATAAATAGATAGGCCAGAACAGAAAAATAAATTCATAATGACACTAATACTTTGCAACATACACTACTGAGAGGAGTTACCTTGAACATGATGACACTGGCCAAAATAGTCAAAGAAGTAAACATGACATAGTATATCGGTGAGACAACAGCTGTATTAAATGTGTCCAGCGCCTGCATTGACGAATTACCAAAAAGGGAAGGTGAGGAATATCACAGATGCCAACAGCGTAAATATGTTTTGATCAATAGCTTCAATTAGCAAACCCGGAATAATTGTTGTATTATTTTTACGCCATAACTGTATGTCGGGATAACAATCCCGGGATAAAAAATAAAATGACACATTTGCCTTTCTCTAAAGCTTTTCTCCCAAAATTCTTAAGATTAGTTTACGATTGTAAATAGAAGTTTATGTCAACATACCCAATTTAAACCAAACACGTGTGTTATATTATACTCTCTATATATCTGTCTTAGTCCAATGAACCTAACATCTAGCAATAAGACTATATCCACTGAATAATCCAGTCACTATAATCTCAAGATAAATTGTTCCCCAACCAAACGACCACTAAGATTATTGAGACTCTTTTGTTGTACTGTATATTGTCTTTGCGACTTATTTCTTATAATGAATTTTGAAATTTGAATTTCGTATTACATGTAAAAGTAATTGACTTGCTCATTTTACTAAGATATTTTGCCTTTAGCCCAAGCTTCATCATAGAAGTAAGATTTCAATCCAAAGTGAGCATGATCCTAACCTATTTTATCCGCATTCTTACATCACAAGACACTCCCAAAGAAGACTAAAAAAACATCTAAACTTTGAGTTAATCCTACAAAAAAAAAAAAAAAATTACGAAGTGCATTTTCAACTAGGAAGACAATCATAAACCACAATGTTGATAAATCATGAAATCATAGAGTTGTGAAATGATTTGTAATTACAGCAGAGAGGTGATTTTCTCCTTTATGAAAACAAAACAGATTAGCACATAATTGCTTATATTCATTTCAGCAATGAAATGTTGTCTGAACCCACCGGTCTCACCCACATAAAACTATGTACCAAGAGCAAGTAGGGACTGCAGCATGCAAGATTAACAGACGGAGTTTGAGGACAAACAAGGAGACAAAAAGAAGGAACAACTCTCACCTTATTTAAGTAATTCATTTGGGTGATAATACAGACAATGACAATCATAGTAAACGCCCAAGTCTGTGGATATATTAGCTGATTCATTCCTGATAATGTCAACTTCAAAGCAATGCCAATTGCTTTTACACTCATAACCTGTTATACCACAGCTGAATTTCCATTAGAAAAAAACACACGTGTGGAAGTTGGAAAACTCAAAAGCAATATCATTCAGATTGGAAAAACTAAGATAGTTACAGCCCACCTACCGATAAAGAGCCTACTAGCGAGCAAACTCCAATATAAAACATAATGTGTGTCTGCCCATATTGTGGAAGATAGTGAAATATGAGAACTAGGGAAGTTGTTATCACCATGGCAGCATAGAAGAGAAAAGCTGCAGGTTAACCAAAAGGTGCTTAAGGCCTTGAGCTCTAAAAGATTAGATTAAAGAAAACAAAACAGCTAACATCACCCGTATGAAACAAGTAACTTAAAGAAAACAAAACAGCTCACATCACCCATATGAAACAAGTAACTACCTGGCTCAGTAGCAAGATCCCACACTTCTGTCACAGATTCGATCTCACGTTCTTGTGGAGCGTGCAAAACAATTGTGATGGAACCAACAACACATAAAGCACAACCTAAAATTCCAAATGTATGTAGCCTCTCCCGCAAAATAACATGTGCAAGGACAGCACTGAGATTTACGACATCATCAATACTCAAGATTATAGAATTCGAAATTTGAACTAGGTATGAAAATTACACAATACCTTATTATAATACTGAGAGCACCAAGAGGAGTCACCAGAATAGCAGGGGCAAATGCATAAGCCGCAAAATTAGCAACCTCTCCAACAATCACTGTTGGAAATAGAAGCTAGATGTTAGAAGCATATCTTCGATAGAACTAAACACAGTTCAGATAAACCAACCGCTAAAAATATCAAAAGAAGATTAACATTTGCACGTCAGACAGGATAGATGTGCAATAGTTTTCACAGCTCCACACAACATCTTTAACAAAACTTCAAGAACAATGGAAAACAAGGTGCAACGAACACCTGATGAGGAAAACCAAACTTTTTACTGTAGTTCTCCTTGTGTTTTTTCTTCTTTTTTTTTTTTTTTTGTGCGTGTATGCGGGATGGTTACATCACACTTTTTAACCTGAGTCCGAAATCCAGTTTAGTTAGAAAGCCATTAACTAAAACCTAGCTCAGCTAGAAATTAACCAAGTACATGGGAAGAGGAGTGCACCTTGCAATTAGTTAATCGACACATCATGAGCCATAATGGCACTTCCTATAAAACATTTTCAAAAGATCTTTGATCGATGAACAAGTAAGGAGCCATGGAGCACCTGTGCAGAGGACTGCTATACAAACAACTTCATCTTTATTAATTAAGGTCATGCCTAGAAGGCTAAAACAATTATGAGAACACAAGCAATAAAATGGAAACCAACACCAAGTGCCGCCAGATTTTGGTCAACTGAACTCCAAAAGAAACCAGAGAATGTTTTTTAATATAACAAACATGCAACTTGAAGGAAAGCAGCATCCCCAAGCTTGTTGCAGAAGGGGGCTATATCACATGAAAGAATAGTAGTCCATAACTCACTTGTTATCATGCCCACCCACCAGAGTGGTTCAAAAAGATATGAGTATCCTCCAACTCCTGTAAAAATATATCAATGTCAAGTCACATAAAATGTGCATCTGAAATGAACAAAGGAACATCGTGAAAAACTAAATTAGTGATGGAAAACATTTAATCACATCTTAGATTCTTTGATCATTTTTACGCTAGCAGTTAACCTACCACAACCCTCCTTTAATAGAAACATATAAATCTGGAAAAACTTTTGACGGACAGATGAAAGAATGAACATCACATGCAAAACTTTAAAATTATAACTTAAAGACCATTTAACTTTAAGCGTTTTGCCACTATTATGACTTGAGGTAGAAAGGTAATATATATTCATTCAAACAAATGTTTTGGGTAAACAACTGGCACCAAGAAACTTTGGTAGTAAAATCAAACCAATGCAACGAATGTCAGCAGTACTTTACACTTTACAGATGGATCAGGTCATCTATATCAGGCTAGAGCCTAGATTGCAGACATGAATCCTAAGAATACAACTTTAAGTTCAAATTTCATTTATAACAATGAGATTTATTCTACTGTTTTATCTTTAATGACAACCGAGACCTAACAGCATAATACAGAAAAATACAATGAGAATCACGGACAGAGTCATTCAAAGAGATTAACATCATTCCTCAATGCCACAGTTGAACCTGTGATCATCACGTGAACTCTCAGCACTTTAGTGTCCGGAAA